GTGGCCCACGGCCTCCTTCATGGGGGCGCCGCTGCGGAAGGGGCCGGCGTCAGGGCCGGGGGCGGCACCCAGGTCGGGCGGGGGCAGGCTGACGGTGCGCACGCTGTACACCTGTGGCAGCACCTCCACGGTGCTCAGCTCCGAGAAGCCGCGGGCTGCCAGCGCCTGGCACGTGCGCTGCACCTGCTCGATGCACGGCGAGAAGGAGCAGAAGCGTCCACCTGCGGGGAGGACACGTGTCAGAGGGCAGGGAGCCCCCCAGGCCGGCGTCAGGGGCTGGGACTGCAGGGCAGGCCACCCCCCCCCACTCCCCGCCCCCGTCTCCCCGGAGTGGGTGCTGATCAAGAAACCCCACTGTGAGCCAGGAGCGTGGGTGCCCAGACCCTGCCATGGGATCTGAGGCTGGCCATGTGCTCAGGCCATGAAGAGCTGAGGTCAGGGGCCAGGGCAAAGGCTGGGTAGGGAGTTAGGTAGAACCTTGGCATCCCAGCTGCCAGCTCATTTGGCCCAGAACAGCTCAAACCAGATGGCCTTAACCATGCAGCCCTAACCACACAGCTCTAACCTTACAGCCCTAAACAGACATCCCTAATCGTACATCCCTAACCACACAGCTCTAATCTTACAGCCCTAACCTTACAGCTCTAATCTTACAGCCCTAACCACACAGCCCTAGCGGGTGAGGCACTGGGTCCCAGGAGGCCAGAGGCTGTCCCAGCTCCCAGGAAGTAGAGGCACCTCCTCTGCGCAGGGCAAGAAGCTGAGGATGAGGGGGTGGGGGAGGAACCTCCCTCTGGGGCTGCCTGCAGTGCCCCTCAGCCTGCCCGGTCTCAGTCCTGCGGAGAAGGTTCTGGAAGCCAGGGTGGGGGGAGGGGTGTGGCCCGGGCAAGCCTTGGATTGCCTGTGCGGCCTGGTCACCCTCATACCCGTACCCAGGAAACTTGTCTCCATCAGGGCTGCAGTACAACCACCAAGAGGAGACCCACCCCTGTGTTCACTGCCAGGGAAACTGAGGCCCCCCAAGGCCAGGGGCCTGGAGAGTGGGGACCACCCGTGGCCGGGCCAGGCTCCCAGCGGGCAGGTGAGCCCAGAAAAAGGCCAGAGAGCCTCTGGGCCCAGAACAAACAGCAGAGAACAAGGAGCCCAGAGGGGCGTGAGGAGCAGAGGGAACAGCAGATGGCGTGGCTCCCAGCCGCTGCCAGCAGTCTCGGCAGCGAGGAGGCCACGGCTGGGAGC